CCCTGAATCATCTTATGGTTCCCTAAAGTTAAAATAGACTCAAACACTGGGAAGGAAATATCAAAGAGTCACAAGCAGTCAACCTGAAGGCACTCCCCATGGACAGGGTTGGAAGAATTTAAGCAACAGAAAAAAAATAGAGAGGCAGGGAGACAATACATGTCTGGGTACGTGCCTTGCATGCATGGAACCCCAGTATGATGACCAGCACAGGGTGCTCCCTCAATGCACTGGGTGTAGCAGTGGAGGCCCCAAGTACTGGCTAATAGAGGCAAGGGTGGGAAGGGAAACTGAGGACATTGGTGGTGGTAAATGCACACTGGTGAAGAGACCAGTATTTGAACACTGTAAGACTGAAACCCAATCATGAACAACATTGTAACTGTGTATCTCATGGTGAGTCAATATTTTTTTTCTTTTTGGGTAACACCCAGCAATGCACAGGGGTTACTCCTGGCTCATGCGCTCAGGAATTACTCCTGGCGGTGCTTGGGGGACCATGTGGGATGCTGGGAATCGAACCTGGGTTGGCAATGTTCAAAGCAAATGCCCTACCCACTGTGCTATCGCTCCAGCCCCGTGAGTCAATTTTTAAAAATTAAAAGATTTTTTAAAAAAGAATAACGATTGGCTAAAATACAAATCCACTGAGTTCATCCTCATAAAATAAATAACCAAAGGAAAAGAAATAGTTTTTTTTTTAAACTTATTTGGAGGGAGTGTAAAGGGGAGGTGTTTGGACCACACCCAACAGTCCTCAGGGCTTACTCCTGGCTCTGGCTCAGGGCTCATGGGGGGAGTGAGGGGAACAGGGATCATATGCAGGGTCAGCTACTTGCAACTCAAGTACCTCACCTGCTATACTACCTCTTTGGCTCCGGTACAGCTAGCTCTTACTGAAGAGTACCAACTAGTAAATGCAGATATAAGGGAAACAGAAAATATTAACTTGCTTGTTCAGACAATAAAAGCTGGCCTACAATGAGGGTCAGTGGTAGAGGACAATCCTCAGGTATGTGCAGCCCGAGATCAATCCCCAGCTCTTAAAAAGGATAAGAGGCTTGCCTGGGCAAGCACTGCGCTTCCAGATCCCTGGCTGTGTTAAAGGACCCGCGCGGTCTCACTAAATAAAGCTGCTCCTCTCTGCTTGCACAGACGCCACTGGGGCAAAGGCCACAGCCACTTCCCAACCGGAAGAGGAGGAGCTCAGCAGAGTGGAGGCCGGCTCAGGATCTGGCTCCCAGGGCAGAACCATCCAAACTGCACCTCGCTCTCTTTAAGCCTTAGAATTTCTGGGTTTCAGTTCTTCCCCTGATTGGCCAGAGCCCTTGAAAAGAATTATTAAAACTCCAATTACACTTCAAGCTCCAAAGTCCGGAGTACCAGCGCTCATTTGATCTCACGAGAGAACTGGACTGAAACCCATCTGGGGGGGGGGGGGGGGGGGGAGAAAGAGGCACTCCTGCTCATGTAATTCCTGAAAAGCCTGGTGGTGGTCTAACTCCAAGCTCAGCTCAATCACGGCCCTCAAGCCAATGATACATCCCTCCATGCTGCTAACTCCATTCACAGATGGAATCCCCCTCGGGAGGGCAAGATAGCTGCCACCTGCTCAAAGCCATCATCCCACACTGTCAGTTATTGCAGCAGAAAAGACAAAGCTACCATCGCCCCCGCCCCCCAAGTCCTGGGTGTGATATTCACTTGGCCAGTACGAGCTTGAGCACACACCCCTGAACTGATCTCAAGGGCCAGAATAAGGAACTCCAGTGAGGGTCCCAGAACCACGTCCACCCTCCAAGCTGGAAACTGGGGGTGAGTCTCGCTCAGGTGCCATGGTATGTATGCAAGATAGGGGTGCTTCCAAGAAAGGGCAGTCTGGGATGCTGTACCCCAAAGCAAGACTGGTGTCTGCACTGCAAATTTTCTGGACTCTCCTGAGAGAGAGCTCAAGTGACTGAGTGCATGCTGGAGGCCCAGGTTCGATCCCTGGTCCCTGAGCACCTGTGGGGAGTGACCTGGAGCCCTGAGCTGAAGTTAGCTCAAAAGAAAGCCAGAAAGCTCATGTATGTCTACATACATGTACGTCTCACGTGTGTCTACATACATGTATGTCTCACACATGTCTACATGCATGTATATCCCGTGTGTGTCTACATGTATGTACACATGTCTACATGAATGTGTGTCTCACGCATGTCTACATGCATGTATGTCTCATGTATGTTGATCCTCCATGGGAATCAATGCTGAGCACTGCCTGATGCCTATATTATCCAAGACTTCTTTGCATGTTATAAACAAGCCAGTTCTCACCTGCCTGTTTGTAAGTATCCTGGGAACCAGATATCTGGTTCTCTAACCCATCTGGACCACCCCACCCTCCTGAATAAGCCAGTCAAGTGCCAGTGGGACCCTACTATGCACTCCTTCCCTCCTTCCCCCTGGAGCCCACATTGCACTCAAGGTAGAAGGGGGGGGGGGGGGAGGGAATGTCCACAGGAAATCCAATCCTGACATAATGGCATCGACAGTCTACAGAGAGAGAAAGACATGCATCCAACCATCATTTATGGCAAGAATAAAGATGAGTGATTAAATCAAATAGGAAGCTATCTCTAGAAGCAAACAAGAAATAATGATCTCCTCCAGGCAGGAAAATTGGGTGCCTGAGAAACAGAGAGGGGAGGTCCCAGCTGTACGTTCAGATATTACATATTTTGAATTGTGGACCATGTGAATCAATTTCCCATTAAATGACACTCTGAGGATGCAATCAGCCAAATCCTGAACGTGGTAAATTCTACAGGGTAAATGAGCCAGTTTCTTCAACAAGCAAACAGCTTTGAGAGGAAAAAAAAAAAAAAACAGAGGCAAGTAGGGGGAAGTGTGAGATATTTTTCAAAGATTTAGGACATGTTAACTAAAGACAGGGTTTGTGCTCTATTTGGATCCATATTTGAACAAGTAACTGTAAAAAGGTATTTTTCAGAAAATAAGGGAAATCTGAATATTGGCGTTGCTATTAGAGATTAACTAAGGAATTTTAGCTAGTCTGGCAAAGAATCATCACAGTAGACCAACAGAGAGCGAGCTGAACGGGCTGAACCCATGCTTTGCATGATGGAAACCCAGGTGCAATCCCCAGGAACACACATGTCCCAGGACACACAGAGCCAGGAGTAGCCCCCAAGCACCAGCAACTGTGGCCCCCAAAGAAAACAACAGAACCGTAAGCACTGCCCTCCCATTGCTCATTAATTTGCTCGAGCAGGCACCAGTAATGGCTCCATTGTGAGACTTGTTGTTAACTGTGTTTGGCATATCGAATACGCCACGGAGAGCTTGCCAGGCTCTGCTGTGCAGACGAGATACCCTCAGTAGCTTGCCGGACTCTCTGAGAGAGATGGACAAATCAAACACGGGTCTGCCGTGTGCAGGGCAAACGCCCCACCCACTGTGCTACCCCAAACAAGGACGGGAGAAACAAAACAGTAACAAAAAAATCATGGCAGAGCCAGGGGTGTGGGCAAAGTAGTCAAGTACATGCCACACATGTGCAAGACCCTGGGTTTCATCCCCAGAAAGTGTGGTCCTGGAGATCCCCGAGAATCACCAGGAATGGTCCCCACACAAGAGGGGGGGCGGGGGGAGAAGAAGAACAGTATTGTAGTTACATTCCTTGTAAGGGTCAATATTTGTTAGTGACACAGACTCAGGTCTTTGCTGTGATGCATAAGATTTGCTTTGAAGTATTCTGGCACGAAATAAATTAAGATAAAATAAATGAAGGAAGGAAACGGAGGAGCAGAGGAAGCGAGAGTGGCGGTCTGGATACATTTCCGAAGCTGCGAGACAGCTCCAGAGGGGCTCGTCAGACTACTCTCTCTCTCCCTGCTAATGGGCGAGATTTCAATCAGGAAAAGTTTAAATAAGAGTTTGGAAATTAATTATCCCACCCGCAGAGGATGATGGAGGAGAACATGGCTGGATAGGGGGAGATATGTGGGCTGAGGGCAGGAAGGCAACCAGGAGTTTTCTTCCTTCCGTTGCTTTTGTGGAGGGGCCATCCCTGGCAGAACTGGACCCAATGTGAGCTGGGGAGCTCCCGCTCTGGGGGCCAACAGGGCTGTACTGGGCAGCGCAAGGACACAGAGGGTCACACAGTGTCTGGATGAGAACGCGGGTACAAGCTCTAACACAAATCATCTCCCACCGCCCTAGGGCTGGGAATTATCTCAGAGGCCAAGAAAACTCCAAACTGAGAGCAAACACCCTAGATGCATCTCCGGAGAAACCCAAGGTCGCCAGACCCGACACCACTGGCATGGAACAAAAAATGCCCTGTGGATGTGTCCACTCACCAGGATCATGGCATCAGAATCAAGCACTGTGTTGAGGGTGAGGACAGGGTGTTGGGCCAGTGGCTCTGTGCAAGGCTCTACTCAGCCTTCAGGACAGGAAAGCAATGAGGCTCTTCCCATTGGGCTGTCTGTGGGGTTCAGCCTGACATGGCAGCCTGGAAGCCAACCTTGTTCTCTCAAGCACACAATCTCCTCTCTTGAGGCCTCCCAAATGCTTGCAAACACCCCCCACACACACACACCCACACACAACACACCAGCCTCCCCAGCCATGTCCTGCAGAGGCCCAGGACCTCAGGGCCCCAGGATCCAGCCTGATGTCAGCCTCACAGCCCAGCCCCCCTGCAGGAAAACTGCAAGTGGTGGAGGAGAGGCACACGGCGTGTGTACATACACACACACACACACACACACACACACACACACATACACAGAGCAAATAGTAGAGGAAAGGCACATGGCACACACACACACACACACACACACACACACACACACACTTTACACAAGCCCGGCCCAGCTGGTTCCCGGCAAATGGTACGGTAGAGGCACATGGTGTGTGCACATGCGCACACACGCATACGCATACACACATACACACACACACAGCCCAGCTGGTTTCCACCAGTCCCTTACCTGGGATCGCAGCTGCTCGTACTCCTCAGAGCCATAGGGGACGCTCCTCAGGGAGGTAAGGTAGTCGTAACTGATGACAGCTGTCTGTGAGCCAAGGAAGATAGGGGTTTAGCACCAGACAAGGGAATCTGCGCCCAAGGCCCCCCTGCCCGGGACATGTCTACTAAGGGGAGGGTCCATCCTGAGGGGACTCTGCCTCCTTCTCGGCCTGGCTGGCTTCTTCCTGGCCATCGGGGCTTTGGAAATGCCACCGAAGACAGTCCCTCTCGAGTTGCCCCATGCCAAAAACTCTCAGTTGTCAAGATGAGCCGGACACCACCTCATTCATTTGCTGAGGGATGGTCTCCACTCGGCTAGAATTTCCACAGGACCAGGTCCTTCCTGCTTCTCCTCACAGCAGATACTCAGTACCGGGATGGACGCTGCAGGGTGAACCGATGCTCCCTCCCATATCACCAGTAAATGTGGGACAGGCCTGTTTCCTCTAAGAGCATAGGTTTTGGTCCTCTCCTTGGAGAAGCCTCGGGGATGAACTAGTCCGAACCTTCCTTTGTTAATAACCGAACAACTGAGGCCCCTATAAGTTGAAGGTACACTACAACCTACAGATACAGGGAGAGAAGTCCCTTCCCGACCTCTGCCCCAAGAGCATCATTCCATCTGACAGATTCTCGCCTGACGCCATTCACAGATCATGGGTCTGGCCCCTAGCCACAAGCAAGGCCTGGTCACTGAGCAGTGTCCGGCCCAGAAGAACACGAGCCTAGTGCTCGCTGGGAAGCAGTGATTATGACATCCAGAGCTCCAGCACCCATGGCCACTTCTCACAGGGCTTCTTCTGCCGAGGTCCCCCAGTCACCTGAGTCATACAGTAGCCAGCTTGAAATATTCTTCAGGAGCTAGAGAGAACGGCAGATCAAGTGTTTGCCTTGCACATGGCTGACCCCAGACTGAAACCTGGTACCCCAGATGGTCTCCAGAGAGCTGCCAGGAGTAATCTCTGAGCACAGAGCCAGAAAGAAGGCTTGAGCACTACTCAAAAAAAAAAAAAAAGCTAAAAAAAAAATTTTAACAAGAACAATAATAGATTGCTTTCTGACCAAGGATGCAGACACGACTCCATTAAAGATGAATTCAGGTGGGTCTAATCAATTCTACTCCCAAAGCATAGAAGACCACAGGGCCATACTGGACCTTTCCGAAAGTCCTCAGTCAATACTTGAGAATCCTGCTCTGATGCCTGTTCACCTACTTGTCAGCCGTGGGTGTCTACTCAGAGTACCCTAAAGGTTCAGGTAACACGCACAGGCCTCCCCTCTGGGCCAGACTTGACAACACCAAGGAAATGGTTAGGGAACCATCCCACAGACTGCCATCTAGGTACCTCTACCTAGGGGGAGAATGGATGAGCTCATCCCACACACAAAGGCGAGGGGAAGGGGCCAGAGAGATAGATCAGGCAGGAGGCCCGGGATCAATCACCTGCACTGCGTGGTCCCCCAAGCACAGTAGGTGTGATCGAAAGAAAAAACAGACTAAAAAAAAATAAAATGCAGAGGGGAAGCCTGTGACCATCTACCCACCAAAAGGCCATTATATGGGAATGTCTGGGGCCACCACTGTCGGCAAAATTAAAGGAGAGGGACTGGAGTGATAGTACAGCGGATAAGGCTCTTGCCTTGCACAAGGCCGACACGGGTTCGATTCCCTGCATCCCATATGGTCTCCCCAGCACTGCCAGGAGTGATTCCTGAGTGCAGAGCCAGGAGTAACCCCTGAGCATCGCTGGGTGTGACCCAGAAAGCAGATAAATAAATAAATAAATAAATAAATAAATAAAAATTAAAGGAGAGGGCCAGGATATGGGATGCAACTCTAGTGGCAAAACACGTGCCAGGCTCCAGGTTCAGTCCCCGGCACTGCAAGTCTCCCACCCGCCTCCCCCACCAGGTACTGTCCAGGTGGCCCCTGAGGACCAACTGGTATAACACTCTCACATATAACAATCCAAAAAAAAGAAAAACGATCACACCCAACAATGTTCATGAGTCACAGAGGAAAAAGAAAAACTCAAAGGATCAAATATTCAGCTCAGGTTCTTAGTTCAGGAGAAGGCTGAAGCAACCCCCAAAATTCCCAAAGCCCCTGATGCTCTGAGTATGGGCCAGGCAGAAACGGTTCACCCCAGTTCCCAGGGCAGGCAGAGCCCAGGTGCTGGGGCAGAATCAAGCCAAGCTGGACCATGGCCTCTGCTTGGCGCCCGGGGTTGGGGGTCTGTTGCTGGAATCTGCAGTGGACCCTGACCCCTGACAGCATGGGGAGCCTGCACACAGCGTCCCCACCATCTCTACCAGAAACGCCCCAACGGGAAGTGTGGCACGTGGGTCTGCAGTGCAGGTCACGTGGGGTCATGGCGCATCCAGCCATCAGGTGTCTGAACACTGCACACAACCAGCAGTTTCTCTGATGCCCCCAGATGAGAGGGATACCTACCGTGGCCACGGCCCTGCCCACCCTGACAGCGCCAAAGTCGTTAGGGTCCAAGTATTTGTTGCCGTAGTAGTAGAAGCCAGAGGTGGCAAGAGCCACGCCGGTCCATGAAGCGAGCTTGACGGCCCTTCTGGCCATGTCCCCAGCCCCTGCGGCAGGACAGAAGAGAGGAAGAGTTAGGCGTGTCCAGAGGAGTACCTGCCTCCCAGGAAGGAGGCCTGGGGGGATCATGAGCACTGCATGGCCCCCTCACTCCCGGAGCACCACCAGAGTGACCCCTTGAGCACTGAGTGAGGAACAGCCCTTAGCCCTGTCAGCGGCAGCCCCAAACATGAAACAAACAACAGAGAAAGAACTACCTTCCTGTCAGGGCCCAGGCAGGAGCCTGTGTCTAAGATGCCTGAGTTTGATGCCTGGCCCTTCAACACTGCTGCAGGCGATCCTAGTGGGTCCCTATGTAGTGGGCCCAAGCACGGAACTGCTGGCCAGGCCCAAAGAAAACTCACTTTAACCAGAGCAGCTCAAGCTGGAGAGAGTGAGTGTACAGGGGTTGTGGCAGGTGTCTTGGAAGCTGCAGACCCTGCCCACCTGTACCATATGGTCCCCTGAGCCCCACCAGGGGTCACTCTGAACAGAGAGCCAGCAACAGCCACTGAGCGGCAGCAAATGTGACCCGCATCCCCGCCCCCAAAACAGTTTCCTCGTTAGAACAATAAATAGAGCTTCAGACCCCAATTCTGCCGCTTAATAAATTGTCTGATCCTGGGCCATTTTCTGAACCTCGTGTGCCTCAGTTTCCTCATTTGGAAAACTAGGTGATTCTTCGAACACTGCTGGAATAAAATGAAATCAGTTCTCAAGAACGCTTAGCGCACTCCAGCTCTCAAGATGTTCATTCTCCAACAGTGACAGGCACTGTTGTAGGAACAGGGGAGAAAGGGAACCGAACCGGGTCCTGCCAAATGCTACTTAACACTCCAGAAGACAAGACAGGTCCTAAGCAAACAGATAATTCACAACAGCACTGGAGGGGAGGTGCTGGATCGAGCCCAGTGACTTTAACATGTGAAGCACGCATTAAAGTGATGTACTAACTTAGATTCTATTTTACCGTTTTCTATACTTTCTATTTTTCCCATCTGTTCAGCTTCTTTCTCCCTTTCTTTCTGGACTTGGTACTTCTTTCCCTTCTTTCCCTAATCCAGGATTTTTTCTTTCTTTCTTTTTTTTTTTTTAGTGGAGGGGGGCACAACTATTGTGATCACTCAACCATCACAGCACAAAGCCAGAAGCAACCACAGATGATACCTAAAGTGAATGGTGGGGGGAAGAGGGCCCCCAGAAAGATAGTACAGCAGGTAGGACCTTTGCCCCGCATGCAGCTGACCCAGATTCTATCCCCAGCACCCCACATGGTTCCCCCGAGCACCACTAGGAGTAACCCCTCAGTACCATGGGTGTGACCAGAAACAAAAGTAAATAAATAAATAAAGTGAATGTTGGGGCCACGTTCGGCTGAACCCTGGCTGAACACAGGCAGGTACTCCTCAAGCATTTACTGAATAATATAAACTCTACCTCACAGGTACCCAGGAGAGAATCACATGCCCAAGCCAACGGTTCTCTGGCCATCCTTGCCCCATCACTGCCCCCCAGCCCCGCTGTCCCTGAACCCCATCCTCCCGAGGCACCATCTTCAAGACCAGAGGTCCCCAAACTATGGCCCCCTTTTCAGAAAATCACTCAGCTCCCCTGGAAATCGAACAGAAAGTGCCTTGGACCAACTGCACCTGAGGTCACCCCTGTACCCCTGGAACTGATCTAGCCCCCTGAGCGAGGGAGGCACTGGCCACTCTGGGAAATGCTGCTCCAGACCCTTCCCTGGAGGCTCTGAGGTTACCCAGGCCCCTGAGACCACCTCACGAGAGGAAGTGGCCCAGCTAGGCAGGCACCTCCCAGTCTGGGTATTTCGCGCACATGTCCTCAGTACTAAAAGCGGTGGATACTGAAGAACCTCAAGTAGATGATAGAGAAGCCAAATGGTGTCTAAACAGAGCTGGAGCTTTCCATAAGGTGTCCAGGCATCTTTAACATGCAAATGAGGCGCTTCCCTGGGTATTTTAAGAGACCCTGTCAGCTGTGAAACATGTCTGTCAATGAAAAACACCTTCCATGATGAATGAATGAATGAATCCCTAGAGCGCTGTCCCCGCCTCCACCGCTTTCCACACAGCCCACTGCGGGGAGCTCTGGGAGGGGAGCAGAGCTCAGGGCACCAGCACCTGGCAACAGGATCACTAGGTCAAAAGCCCTTTGCACTCAGAGCCTGAGTCCACACAACCCAGGGAGACTCGACCTGTTCCCCCAACAAGGAAGGGAGACCATGAGTCACCTGACCCCGGCCGCTCAGCCTTTACAGGACAGAGGAAGAACTTGAACCCAGCCCTCCTAAACAGGGACTCTGGCCCCTGTTCACAAGGAACCACAGCGATGCCTGTCAGCAGACTCCTTCATCTCTAAACAGTCCCAGGCACGAAGACCCTGCTCAGAGCCCAGCAAATCAGCCACATGTCCCAAGGTGCCAGAAACAAGGGGTTTGGGGACTGGAGTGATAGCACAGCAGGCAGGGCGTTTGTTTGCCTTGCATGTGGCTGACCCAGGTTCGATTCCCAGCATCCCATAGGGTCCTCCCCCCACCCCCCAGCACCGCCAGGAGTAATTCCTGAGTACATGAGCCAGAAGTAACCCCTGTACATCGCCAGGTGTGACCCAAAAAGAAAAAAGAAGAAAAAAAAACAAGGGGTTTGGATGAGTGAGCCATGCAGGAGGGCTCTGACTGTCAAGTTACTAAGAAGGCTGGAATGGTCTCCCTCGACCAAAGAGAATGCACGGCAGGTCATGAAACAAGGTGCCAGGGAAGTCTGGGAGTTCTACCCACAGGGAAGTGATGGCCAAGTGATGTGTCCATCCCATGCACAGGGAAGGACGGGGCGGGGGGAGGAACAAAACCTCACTGCTAATGAATAGCCCTGCCATATACCCTTCACCTGTTGCCTCTCCATCCCCGCTCCCCCAGCTGACTCCACTGAGCTGGGGGTCCCTGAAACTGCAGAGTGAGCACAAACACCGCCCTTCTCCTCCAGACTATTAGGCAAATGGGCATGGATGCCCCTGCTCCTAAAACTGGCACAGACTCAACAATGGGGATGGAGACAGTGATTGGGTTTTCAGGGAAACCTGGTGACTGACATGGATTGAACAAAAAACACAGAAGAGGGCCAGAGAGACAATACAAAGCACATGCCTTACATGCAACTGTCAGGTTCGATCTGAGCACTACACATAGGGCCAGGAGTGATGATCCCTGAGCACAGAACCAGGAGAAAGCCCTGAGCACCACCAGATATAGACCCCCCCCACCCCCCACCCCTGGACTAAAAACCAATCTAGAGAACACAGAGCAAAAAATATTGGATACACTGGGCCCTCAGCTGGGTCACCAGAGTCCCAAGAGGTTGGAGTCCCAGGAGGAAATGCCCAAAGCAAAAACTATTAGCTTCTGAGTCCCCTGTACAACAAGAAAATCAGTGTGAATCAGAAAAACACGAAAGACAAAAAGTCAACTCTCCCAACAGAGCTCAAGTCAGATCCGTTTGAGAAATGGTCAAGTGACTGGGACACAACATAGAATGTGTTATCACCCAAGAAAAGGGTTATGTATAGACAACACACAGACCTACAGAAGGGACAGGAAGGCGCAGGCTGAACCAAACCATGAAACAAACAAGCTGACACAACCAGGGAAGAGTTGGTGCTTTAAGTTCACAGAATGTTTTCCTGTAAAACAGTAACACTCATCTGTCCAGCCGCTATCATAAGGCCTCAGAGCAAGGCAGACGCGCAGCCTTGCTCCCCACCACATCCCTCTTTATTAGCAAACTTGGAGGGTGGGGTTCAAGGAGTGTATAAAGCACCTGCTGTTGGATGCTGCCTCTGAAAAACTTTGAGAACTACTGTGATGAGAAACTGCTTAAAGATAGCGTGTAAAGGGCCAGAGAGAAAGAGAGAGAGAGAGAGCGTGCACAGGAGATTCAATCCCTGGCATCATATTAAGCACTGCCAGGTATGGTTTGGGCATGCCCCAGTTCCCCCTGGAGAAGCCCAAAATGCAAGAATGTGTGAAGGCACATGTGAAGCGGGAAATTCACTTCAACACAGCAAAGATTTCTCAGCACCCACCAAAGCAAGCGCCAAGCCTCGGGGACGTGGGCAAGGAAATCCGGAGAGTGAAAGGACTACCCACCTTGTTAGAAAGGGAATGCCACTGAACCTGGGGGCAGAGAGCTGTACAGGTGCGATCTGAAGGCTGCGGGAGAGAGGAGAGAGAGACAGAGAGGGAGGGACAGAGACAGAGAGAGACGGAGAGACAGAGGAGAGAGGAGAGACCGAGACAGAGAACAGTGCCAGCAGGAAGTGGAGCTGGGTGCAGAGTCCTACCAGGTGCGGACACCCCCCAAACGCAGGCAGAGGACAAGAGAGGTGATCGGTGGTCCCCTGGTCTGGCCCAGACCACGACCCCGCCCCGGCCGCCCCTCCGGGGGCGCTTCTGCAGAGCTCCCCTGCTGCCCTCCTCTAGGTCCAGCTGCACCGGCCGGCCGGTGAGCGCGGAGGGGGCGGGGCACTGCCCGCCGGCGGAACACGTGCGGGGTGACAAGGTCGCCAGGTCACAGGCCGGCAAGGGGCAGGGGCCGGCGGGGGGCCCCCCAGCGTCTACACGGAGCGCCCAGGCCGGCTCCCTCCGCGCCGCGGCCACCCTACTCACCCCGAGGCCGGCCGGGCAGCCGGGGATTCGCCGGGAACTCGGCTCGTCGCCACCCGTGAGGCCGGGGCGGGGCCGGGCGCCGCGGGGGCTGCCGGGACTTGTAGTCCAGCCCGGCTCCCCGCCCCCACCCCGGGGCTGGGACGCTGGTACTTTCGGCCCAGCACCACCACCTGCCCCCCAGCACACCCCACCCTCGGCGTCCTGGAGGGGCTTGTTTCTCTGCAGGGGCTGCGGATACCGGGCTTTTCATGACATTGACTTCAGGAGGCTTTCGAAACGGGGTCAGTTGGGTGGGAGAGTTGTAGGTGTGCGTGCTTTAAAGAACAGCAATGGCACAGAAGAGAAGAAAAAAAACTTACTGACGGCTCTCGGTCATTATTGCAGGAGAAGAAAACTGGTAGAGGAGTGGCCGGGGTCATGGACAGTACGTGGGTAGGGCGTTTGCCTTGCACGCCCCAGACCCAGGCTCCATCCCTGGCATCCCATATGGTCCCTGAGTGCAGAGCCAGGAATAGCCCTGGTGCGTTGCGTTGCTGGGTGTGGCCCAGAATCACAAAAATAACAACAAGAACTACTGGACAAAACAAATTTAAATTTATTTATTTATTTATTTAAATGAATAAATAAAAACTAATTGGGCATAACCTCCTAAGTGGTTAGGAGGAGGGGAAATGTGCTAAGTGGCATCGTGGGAAATGTGTGTGTGCAAAAGATACGCAGGTTGGCTTCATCTTAGAACGTACTCCAGTAAAGACAGCATGAATTTAAAATACCTTAAGTTGAAAACACATTTAATACACTTCAACTACCGAACAGCATAGCTTCAGCCTTACCTTCCTAAAATGTGTAAATACAGAACCCTTGCTACCTTCCTTAAATGTGAAAATACAGAACCCTTATATTAGCCTACCGCTAGGAGAAAGCACGTACCATAAAGCTTTCTTTAATATAATAATATGTTAATTAATTAATATGTAAATAGATATTATTAATATCACAAAATATTGACTAGCTCATGTAATTTTCTCTCTGGTCTCCCAGTATAGTCTGTTCTCCAGTAACAGTAAAAGTGTGCTAATTAGTCAAAGGGATAGTACAGCAGGTGAGTTGCTTGGCATCCATATAGCTGACCCACGTTTGATTCTTAGCACTGGATCTGATCCTCCAAAGACTGCAAGAAATGATGCCTGAGCATCAGGAATAAGCCCTGGACTCGTCGTATGTCCCTCTGTCTCCCCCAAAGCAAGATACCAATGTGCTGATATGTTAGTCTTACTTGTCTTCTACATTCATTCATTGACCTTTTGATCGCAGATTAGTTCTTACCAAATGACATATAAACTGTGTGAAAATTCATAAAAAGAAGCCAGAGAGACAGTATAGTGTGTAAAGCTCTTACTTTGCATGCAGCTGGTGTGGAATAGATCTCCAGTTCCACATGTGTTCCCCTAGCACCACCAGAAATAATCCCTGAGCACAAAGTCAAAAGTAGGCCCTGAACACTGCCAGGTGTGACCTAAAAATTTTAAAATTAAATTTTAAAATTAACTTTCAAACTTTGATAAGTCTGGGGAAAAACTTTGAAAAAATTGGACAGTATTAAATTTAAGAGTTTCTTTTCACTAAAAACTGTTTAAAACAAAGACAGGTCCACAAACTGAGATTTCTAAGGCAGGACAAAGGAAACAGTTGTCCAGAGTTTAATCACAGCCCACACCGTCTACAACATGCAACTTATAGGTGTCAAGATTTGTAAAGACTGAATAACTTCCAAATAGTGTGAGAAGCATTATAAGAGGTCTGAACAGAAAAGGAACATAAATATATATAGAAACATAAATATAAAAACATAAATATAAATCTAATATAAATATAAAACATAAATATAAATCTAATATAAATATAAAACAAATATAAAAATGTCTATAGGAACATAAATATAAAAGCAGAATATTAACACAAACATAAAAACAATATTAATTTTGCACAGAAGATTTTGAGATGTTATATAAACCAGAAATTGACTTGGAGGAAAATAATTAAAGGCTGTATAGGGATCTTCAGAATGGAGTTGGTGAATAGCCTGGGCACAGGGAAAGTCATAGAAAAAAAAAAGCTTAAAGTTGCATGAAAAGACAGTAACAAATAAAGACATACTAATTAAAACTGGGAAATGGATAAAGTGCTTGTCTTGATTGCAGTCAACCTGGTTCAAATCCCCAGCAGCACCACATGTGGTTCCCAGGAGCACTGTCAGAGATTGCTTCTGTGCATAGAGCCAGGAACAGCCCCTGTGCAACATCAGGTGTGGTCCCACAGCACCTCCCAAAATGAACAGTATAAAACCACAGAGAAATGCCAGAATGAGGGGCTGGAGTGAGAGTACCGTGGGTAAGGTGTTTACCTGCACGTGGTTGACCTGGGTTCAATCCCGGCATCCTATACGGTCCCCTGAGCACCGCCAGGAGTAATTCCTGAGTGCAGAGGCAGGAGTAATACCTGAGCATTTCCAGCTGTGACCCAAAAAGCAAAAAAAAAAAAAAAAAAAGAATGAATATATTAAAACCACAATATCTTTTTTCACAATTGAACCCTTAAATTAAACTATAAATGTGTTGCTAGCAGTTAACCTTCAGGATAGGAAGAGGGTGGGGTATGGTTAGAGTATTTTACTCTACTCCTAATGCCCTGATGTAGTATTTGATCTTTTACTGTATCACTGCCATCCTGTTGTTCATCGATTGCCTCGAGCAGGCCCCAGTAACGTCTCCTTCATCCTAGCCCTGGGATTTTAAAAAGTGCCACATTCGAGCCTCTTTCAGGGTCAGGAGAATGAGACTCATCATTGTTACTGGTGTTTGGCATATTGAGTACACCACGGGGAGTTTGCCAGACTCTGCCGTGTGGGTAGGATACTTTTGGTAGCCTGCCAGGTTCCCCAGAGTAAAAACTAGATAATAAGATGTCTTTTTGATCTTTTACAATAAATATATATCATTTTATAATTTTTAAGTGATTCTTTAAAAACCTTTTGCAGACTTTTGGGTTTACATGGTATGTTGTATAGGTTCATTTAAATTCATTCTTTCCTGAAATCTCAAGAAACTGACAGAAAAGAAATGAAAAAGGAGATATAATCCAAAGGGCAGAAGAGAGTAGATAACAATCTATAAGAAGAATCAAAAGGTAACTATGGGATGCTCCAAGAGAGATCAGTGAAGTCAGTGCCTGCAGCCCAGTGTCAGAAAGTCTGATTTCAGAGTCGAGGGGGGGACCCAAGAGGAGATCTGACCTCCCTAGTTCCACAGGTGCCCTGTGGTTAACAGCTAGCACCAAGAAGCTGTTCATAGTGAGCCCAGATTCTGTCAGAATCACCTGCTGGACTTTAACAAGCCTCCTGGGCCACACCTGGACCTTCCAGACCCTTTTCTGGGTTTCCCACACGGTGGTTTTTGATAGAACTCTCCAGGGTATCGCAATGCACACTGAAGGTAAAAGGTCTGATATAACAGTTCAGGAACCATATTTGAACAGTATGACTCACTGCAAATGTTTTAACTTGGCAGAATTTTTCATCCTGATGGAGAGTTAATATTGATAAGATGGGTGCCGGAGCTATAGTATAGCAGGCAGGGCACTTGTCTTGCAATGCAGCCAACCTGGGTTTAATCCCTTGTATATGCCTCCCCCTTCCTCCCCGCCCCAACCCCACCAGGAGTGATCCCAGAGCCAAAAGTAAGCCCTGAGCTCCACCAGGTGTGGCCAAAATAAAAACATTAGAAGATGGTGATTGTGCTTTGGCAGCTGAAAATTACTGAGCAAATGTTTCACTTAAAACCTGGACGAACCTAGGGGCTGGAGCAATAGCACAGTGGGTAGGGCATTTGCCTTGCACACGGCTGACCCGGGTTCGATTCCCAGCATCCCATATGGTCCCCTAAGCATCTCGCCAGGTGTGACCAAAAAAAAAGAAAAAACTTGAGTCAGCCCAGGAATTGGGGTTTGGGATGGAAACATCCCAAATATGGTGGTGGGAAGATGTAATGGTGGGATTGGTGTTTGAATATTAAATGAACTACCTTATAAAATAAAAACATTAATTTAAAAAATAATTTTTAAAAAAAACTGGACCGACCTAAGGACAGTAAAGATAAGGACCAGGAGTAACATGCCACATGCTGGGGGGAAAGGCAGTTGGGATGGAGAAGGGACCACTAAGTAAATGATGATTGGAGGGCTCAACCGGATGGGAGATATGTGCTAAAAGTAGACCAACAACCAAATATGATTTCCTCTTAGTATCTGTATTGCAAATCATAATGCCCAACATTAGAGAGAAAGAAGGATTGTACCTGTCCTTGGGAGGCAGCGAGTTGGGATGGGGTGGGGGTGGCAGGAGAAACGCTGGGAATAATGGTGGTGGAAAATGTGCACTGGTAGAGGGATGGGTACTGAGCATTGTATGACTGAAACATAATCTTGAAAGTTTGTAACTGTATCTCATGGAGCAGGGAGGGCATTTGCATTGCATGTGGTCAATCCAGGTTCAACCTGTGCTGACTCGGATGTGGCGAGAAAGGGACCCTCCTTCACTGCTGGTGGGAATGCCGACTGGTTCAGCCCTTTTGGAAAACAGTATGACCGATTCTCAAAAAATTAGAAATTGAGCTCCCATTTGACCCAGCAATACCACTCTTGGGAATATATTCCAGAGAGGCAAAATAGTATAGTCAAAGTGACATCTGCACTTGTTTGTTCATTAGAGCACTGCATACAACAGCCAGAATCTGGGAAAAAATCCGAGTGCCTGAGAACAGATGACTGGTTAAAGAAACTTTGGTACATCTACACAATGGAGTACTGTGTAGCTGTTAGAAAAGATGAAGTCCAGAGGTATGGTGCGGCCAGCAGGTCAATCTGTACCTGTGAGGCGAGTGCATCAGCAGCCTGATGACACCGTCAAACTTTCAGATACCCCAAAATTGCTGCTGTGCCTTTTGCCAGACCCCAAAAACTTGGGGCAAAGTTTACCAAGAAAGTAAAAGGCCAAAAGTTAGGTATGTGGGAGACACACCTAAAAACCACCTCTGGCTTAACTGTATAATTGGAAGCATG